TGCGAGTACTGTCTTGCCTTTTGACCATCTGCTGATCTCTACCAAGTTCTATGTTGCAAACTTTGGTGCTGATATAAAAAGGCATAAACACATGTGAAGTTTCATGGCCAGCAGTGGATGTATGTTATGAAAAGAGCTGCTGCAGCAGTGGTTTGCCGGAAAACCCCATATCATGCTGGTTCTTTCCATAGTGAACCTACATGGTGTTTTCAGGTAAGTTTTAAAAAGGACTCCCATAGAGGGATTACAAAGACATGTTCATACCCCATGTTTGGGAAAAGCTCTCTTACTATCCTAGTGCTGAACTTCAAGGCTTGAACACATGGGACTGAATATAGCGAAAACAGGTAAAATATAAGAAGAGTTATCAAAGTTACTTGACATGTCACCTTTGGTAGAAAACAAGGTTTGCATGTAAATATTCCAAGTTTATCCCTTTGGAATATGTAGCTAAAAGGATCTTCGGTAGAAAAGATGTAAAAAATAGTAGCCTGTCTGTGGACTGAACACAGATTTATGGAACACAAGAAAGAGGACCTGCGAAACTCGCGAGGGGAGGAGCTGGGGAGCTCCACACTGAAAAGGCGGCGGAGGAAGAAGCAGAAGCAGAAGTTCCCCGTCTCCTCCACCACCCCCCTCAACTACCTCCCCCCGGCCTCTCTCTCTCTCCCCCGTTCTCTCTCTTCCCCCCCAGTCTCTCTCTCCCCCCGTTCTTTCTCTTCCCCCCAGTCTCTCTCTCTCTGTTTCCCCCGTTCTCTCTTTCCCCCTCAGTCTCTCTCTCTCCCCCCGTTCTCTCTCTTCTCCCCCAGTTTCTCTCTCTCTCCCCCCTTCTCTCTCTTCCCCCCACTCTCTCTCTCTCTGTCTCCCCCGTTCTCTCTCTTTTCCCTCCCACTCGGTCTCTCTCTTCCCCCGTCTCTCCCCCCCGTTCTCTCTCTTCCCCCCAGTCTCTCTCTTCCCCCCTTCGCCGGTCTCCCTCCCTCCCGCCGCCGCTGGGCCTCACCTGTCGGTCACTCCCCTCCGCCCGCACTGAAGCAGGGACATCTGGTAAGGCTCGCCGCTCCCCCCCGTCCAAAGCGCCGGTTTCCCCCCCGCTCCGGTTTCCCCCCCCAGCCTGGCTGGTCTTTCCCCGCCTGGCCGCCTTCCCAGCCTTGTCCTGACCTCCCGTCGCGTGTTGCCGCCGCGCCGTTTGCAGAGCGTTCCCTGCGCATGCACAGGGAATGCTCTGTAACTTTTTGGGGGATTTAAATATCCCCCCGATATGTTTTCAAAGGTTTTCGATTTTTGTGCACACGTGGGGACCGCCCCACGTGTGCACAAACCTCTCCCTGCCCCCCAGGTGGCCCCGGAGCACGGATTTAGACATCCGCACGCACGGGGCCACTTCAGTATTAGTATATAGATTGGCCTGACTAGGGATAGGCACGAACTGGCTAACAAATGAAAGTTTGTCACAAATTTTGGCTGGTTCACGGTTCACGGAGCAATGTTTGTGAATTGAAGAACTGCCACGAACTTTAATGAAATTTGATGCAGCTTGTGGCAGTTTGTAAAGAGTAGAAAGCAGGGGTTTAAACCCCTGATTCTGCTCTTCACAATTTTTTTTTTTTGAGCTATCACTGTTGGACAGGTTTAAACCTGATTTGACTGTTTAGTGTTAGAGCATGTTCTTACTTGCCATTACTCACCATTTGTCCTACAGAGAAATTCCACATTAGAAAATGGTTGGTGTGAAAATATTAACATCTGGTCGTTTATATATAATCTAGTCTGGTTTTGATGATGCACTTATTCTGAGGAACCAATGTGTTCTATGAAAGTGGCTTAATACATTACCCCCTCTTCCCCGTAAGTGATGGCATATGACCCAGTAAGCTTACCATGTTGTCTGGTAGCCTTGGCTTGTGCAGTCTGAGATACCCCCACTTGCCAAGTTACTAATGCTTGTATGATTGTATGAACCTGGATGAATACTGATAGAACATCATCTGTTTAAATCCTAGTAACAATTTTTCCATTCACTGATGTGCAGCAATATTATGATTTAATGGGCTGCTAGCAATGTTACCTGGATTAGGGGTGTGAAAAAAATGGTATTTTCAGGTTCGGGTATATCAGATCTGAAAAATATCAGTATTGTCTGATATTCCCAAATCCCAATACTGGTATGGTATTCAGATTTGTGATATATATATTTATTTTATTTTTATTTTACTTTTGGATTTATATCCCACCCTCCCCGAAGGCTCAGGGCGGCAAAACCGAGGCACAAGTGCCAGAATTAAAACAGATAAAACAGTAAAACAATATAATACAACAACAAAGTGTCAGTGCAAGATGGGGTAGATCTTAGTCGAATGGCATTGGTCCCGCAACTTGTCATCCCCTCTCCTTCCAGGGTCACCTCGCACCCAGATGGAACCATATATATATTTGGAAATCCCATTTTTAAGCTCCATTATACCCTATTGGGACCATTATAGTCAATGGTTCCCATAGGGTATAATAGAGAACCAATCGGGGGGGGGGGGGTCTGGGGGCTTTTTTTTTGAGGTAGAGGTACCTAATTTGCAGCATAGCTGCTGATACCTCTACTCAAAAAACCCCTCCAAGTTTCAAAAAGATTGGACCAGGGGGTCCTATGGGCCCCCAAAGTAGGTGCCTCCATCCTCCAGTGGTCTCAATGGGGGGAAGGCATTTAAAATGACTGTGGTAGCTTTAAATGCCATCGGCAAGCTGTGAGTGAACTCCAAAGGCATTTAAAGGGCTTGCAGTCCTTTTAAGCACCTTCACCAAGCAGTGAGTTCACCCAGAAGGCATTTAAAAGTACTGTGATCCCTTTTAAATACCCATTAACTTCAACTTTTCAGTGGTCCTGAAAAATCCCAAATATTTTTGGGATTTTGGGATCTCAGCAATTTCAGATAGCCCCCCCCCCCTCCAAAAAAAAAGAAAGAAAAGAAAAGAAAAAACCTCAGATCTATATTGGGCTGAAATAATATTTTCCGCTCCATTATAGCTGATTGCACACCCCTAATCTGGATATTCAAGGCTATGGCAGAAGATAAATAATTTCTCTTCACTCCTCTAGAAGTATTAATTTCTCT